ATTTGGGTATTTTCAAAGCCCAAAAATCTTTAAAAATTCTATGTCTGTTAGATAGTCAAATTTTAAAGATGATTTCATTAAGAGAGATGATTTTGATGATAAGTTACACCATTTTATCAGATAGAGTAAGTTAGCCGGGTGGTTGAAGGCAAAACTAATTTTACTTTAAATAGCGCGTAAAGGATTTGGGCAAGTGTGACCGACTTTTTTGGAGCCGGGCGAAAAGCCGTTGGTACATAATAAATATGTAATGAGTTTTTATTCAAATCAAAGTATCCTTTATTTAAATAAACTATTTGAATAATAATAATTTAATAATATACTTTTGAATCATCAATATTTACATTTTAAAATTAAATGTCAGTATGTATAAGCCCGTGATGTGATTTTCATAAAGAAAAATTCTGATAGAGTGTTGTCATTAAAAGAATGATGGACATAAGTCAGAAAAATCCTAAAGTTTGAGATAGATTATGATTGTAAATGCTAATATACGGTGATAATAATGTTTTACATTATTGATTAACCTGATTAACCGGTGCAATTATTTTTAATTTTGTTATTTTGAAGCGCTGATATGCCGATAAGTATTATAAATAGATAACTAATGTAAAAAATTTAAATTAGTTTTCAGAAAAAAGTTAATTCAAGCAAGAGTCGTGTAGATTCAATCGTCATTAATTAACTGAAAGTATCATTACTTTAAAATATTTTTTCTTTTTATCTTTATTTTAATTCATGTTAAGAACACATGTGCGCCAACTTGGTCATATTTACAATGCGCTGGCTTACTTTTAAAAAGCGGTTCTTCCTTGAAATATACAGTAAATTCAAAAGGACATTTTAGACAATTTGATCCTCCACAAAATAATACTAGAAATATGTCATTCATTCTCGTAGTAATAGATGATAATATACTTTTAATTTGCTTGTTCATATTTTATTTCACAACTAGCGACTCACCCTCGCTCCCCTCGGGTTCGTCCCTGGTTACGTTTTAACGCTTAGTATAGATTTATCAGAGATGAGATGTTTTCCCGCAGTAAAAAGTATCCTATATGTTGGCCCGGATAACCAACTATCATCATACCAAATGTTATCAAAATCTGAACAGTCGTTTTCTCGTGATTGATTCTCGTTCCCAGGCAGACAGATAAACAGACAAAAATTCTAAAATATCTAAATTAGGCCTCTGTATCGATAATAATGATTATTTCAATAAGATTTTCCAAAAAATAATTTTAATGTACAGATTCGAGTCAATTAGATCTTTATTATATGTATAGAAAAATCATTTCTAGAACATTAACTGTATTGCTTCACGAATTAAGAATTCTTCTAAATTATTCAATCTACCCACGCGAATGCACTGCTTCCTAGCATACATTGGTACGTACAGTATTCTAGATACGAAATGCAACCAACATTCATCTGAAGATATGTAGTATAAAACAAAGTCGCTTTTCGCTCTCTATCCTTATGTATGCTTAGATTTTTAAAACTACTCAACGGATTTTGATGCAGTTTTTTTAATATATAGATTGATTCAAGAGGAAGGTTTTAGTATATAATTTGTTAAGTTTTTGTTTACATTGGCTAAAATATAAAGATATTTGATGGAGGTCGGAGGCCGGAAAAAATAAGCCGTCTGGGAGCTTTCAACGAAAACGCTGCCTAAACCCTTTGAGATATAACAAAATAATGTATGGTGGAATTGTGTATCTTATATAGGCCTACAGAAAAGTCTACGATGGCATATGTATATCACTTAAGGAGAACATACTACTATATCCATTTTCATTTAAAACGTACCTAGTACGCTTAATACGTAGTACGTTTTCGCTAGTAAAGAATATAATTCGGTAAAAATTTCATTAAATTTACTCATTTTATTCTTATTTTATACTATTATTATTATACAACTAGCATTGCCCGCGGCTCCGCTCGTGTTCAGATGACCAAAAACCAAATTCTTAGGTTTTACATATTAGTGTACTCTTACATTACAGTTTTTGTATTTTTTCTCAAAAATGAGATATTTTTTCGCTGTAAAAAGTATCCTATATGTTGGTTGACCCGGATCATCAGCTATGACTATACCAAATTTCATCAAAATCCGTCCAGTCGTTTTTCTGTGATGCGGTAACAGACAGACAGACAAAAATTCTAAAAACTATAGATTCGGCCTCTGTATCGATAATAATGTCTATTTCAATAACATTTTCCAAAAAATTATTTAATGTACAGATTTGACTCAGTTAGAATTTTATTATATTTATAGATGACGTATCGTCAAAATATTATTGTTATTCTTCCATGTTGTTAGAGGGAAGTTCATTTAACACTATTCATTTTTGAAAAGGAATCTTATGTATTTATTTGTTTAGTGCGTCGCGTCGCCCCGTCATCGAACAGTTGGGATGATCAAGCTTTTATTGAGTAGTTGGTTACTGGGTTTAAGAACCGTCTAAGTTTATCTTTATCTATCGATTTCTACATATGAGTATGTAGTTTTGACTGCTAATGATTTTGGATTATTTTAGGGTGTATTTTATAAACATTTTACATCTACACATCTTAAATTACGAAAGTTACAATGTTTTTACATATTTTTCAACACGAAACACATTATTTGAACATATATTTAAGCAGACATTTATTCGTTAACCTACATAGTATGGCATGGCCAAGGTCAGTTACTAATCCTAGCGGCACAATCGTTAGTAGTAAGGAATATGTTTGTGGGCGATCGTGAGTCAGCCCATCACCCCGCTATACTTTTATACAAGCTGAATTCACTGTTCATATGTACATATGTGAATTTTATTACTCATAAATATTATATCTTACTGTAATTATATATACTTTATGTGGGAAAAGATCAATCCCGTAAAAGATTTTTAGACTATAATAAATGGCTTTCATTAAGATTACTATAATGACTTCACAAAATAAAATCTCAGAGCCTTTAGTTCATTAATTTCATAAAACATCTATATTTTAATTACAAAAAACTAAAAAAATCAAAGTTGAAAATGACAATAATATAGTGCAATAGTGCGGGTCGTCGTACCGCGTTATCATTTCGGCACGGATTCCTTGGCCCCCGCACCGCTGCGCCCTCGCGCCCTCGCTATCTCTGCTGTCAGCTACAGATGCTTTGATGCTCTGATGCTGCATTCCTACTTCTGAATACGATTGCAATCATCAAATTTTTATATAAATAGGTTTTTCTCACCGTCACGTTTCACCTGAATTTAGTAGTTTTTTTGCATGACTATTTCATGCCTCTTAAATATGGACAAAGCAACAAACAAACAGACAAAGAAATAGACTTTCGGTTATGTAATCTACATTGATAGACTGAACCATTTTTAACTTATTATTTTGACTCTCATCTTTCCAATGCTTGTATTTTCGTATAATAGCTTATCTGATTAATAATTCATAGTACCAAGAAAGGTTTCGCTAAACGCTGGCCTCGCTTGGAATGGGGGATAAAAACTTTATTTCTCCATAGGGAGCAGTTCTTTGATTTTGTAGTGTTTAACAAATATAGACACACTTGCCGTCCTATTGACAGATCTCTTCATTTAAAATATATATATTTTTTATCTACCTACGAGATAACGTAAGCTATGTATAAATTATATAATAATATGTTACATAAATTTAATATATAGACATAGGAATTTTATCTTAATATGATAAAGCATATTTCTTTCTGTTTTGTTATATTATGTCATTTGATTTTATATGATCTATAACTGCCTCGCTCATTTTTCAGTGGTAGAGTCGAATTGACTCATTTAAAATTTAAATTTGGTATTAATATTGTGTATTATGTGCAAATGAGAGCTTAAATAGGAATTTATTGTAAAACCATTTTACTTCCATAAATTGTTATATTAATTACGGTTATATAAAAAAAATCAAGTACAAAGACGTGCAGGGATTGTAAAGAATTTAAAGATTTTGGGTATTTATTGTATTTTATCGGTAAATTTTAAGTGAAAAAAATATGTTAGAGAATAATTAATAAAAAAATACTTGTGTTGCCATGTTTGATATTTTATACACTATTCGGAGGGGTAGTTGAATGACGGTACGTGACAATAGCGTTTGACAGGGAATAATTTTATTTGTCATCCATGGTCAGTAGTGCGAGTGAACTCATCACAGATTAAACAACTACGAACTCATTTTATTGCACAGATTAAACAAATATTTTATTGTGAACACTCGACTGTGCCGCACGAGCACACTGACCATGGCAGACAAGAAACGCGACAAAGTAATATTAAATCCATCGACATCCGTAACAAATATAGGTATATTTAATTTAGGGTCAGTAGCCTCGAAAATCTAGGAGAGAAGGTACGAGAATGTCCAATCTTCGTATATTTTCTTCATATTCCTTTAGCTATGCGTTTGAAAATTATAAAAACGGTATTGCTTAGAATGAGCTCTTTCGTTTACATGTTCTAGTTAAAGATGCTTTTTTAATTTAATTATGACTCTTAAAATTATATACACCTATATATTATGTACATATGTATCAAAAGTATAAAACACACATATACACACACACATACAAAACTTTCGCAATTATAATAGTGGTCGGGTAATGTTAAGTATTCAGCCCTTTTTAATGTCCTACTGCTGGGCAAGGACTTCCCTTCAATACGAGGGGGATCAAACCATTGTTCACCACACTGGCCAAGTGCGGGTTGGCGGACTTCATATGCCTTACGAAAACTTGCTAAGTTCTGTCAGATATGCAGGTTTTCTCACGATGCTTTAGTTCACCGTAAGGCAAGTGGTAATCATGTCAGAAATGATTCGCCCATGAAAATATTGGAAGTCTGAGACCCGGGATTTGAACCCACATCAATTGGTTTCCCAAGCGAGCGCGTTACCACTGGGCTACCACTGCCTCCTTATTGATATTAGCAAATAATCAAATCTAATAGATCCATTTAATATAAATTGTGTATGTAATGTTGCAGAGTAATGGTGATGGTATCGTGATGAGACTGTTGCTAGTGACGCTGGCGCTGGTCGCGAGCGCGGCGGCGGATCCGCGGCAGAGCACGGCGCGCCCGCGCTCTCCGCGCCACTGGGCGCGCGGCGCGAGGACCCTCGCCGACAGGGCTCCCACGCAGTTTGTTGGGTAATTACACTATTTGCTACAACTTGCTTTCGAGTTACAAATTTGTTTTTTCTTGTCTTTATTTTGTTATAGCTAGCTTCGAAGTAGGTAATTGTAATGTAGTCCAAAATTTAGGAGTTAGTCATCTTTGGTATTAAGTTAAAGTATAATATAAAGGGAAAGTTAAAGTATAAGTGTAATCTGAATTTATATATAAACTTACTTTACTCGTATCCTTGAATAGCAAACAAATAAATCAAATCTTTTGTATATTTGTGGGAATCGTCGCAAATATCTGTAAAGGGATCACTTGATTCAGAGAAACGTGAGTCACGTTCACTGAGTGAGAGAATGCAGCGGCGCAGGCGCAGCTAATCGCGGGTGCATCGATCTTGCACCAGCACGTGGACGGCCAGTGAATATTTACATGGCTTAGGGCTGCTATCATTACATTATATGTCATAGACTTATTGTTTAATGTGGACCAATTCTCATTCTAACAAAGATGCTAAATTCGTGTGAGTAAAAGGTTATTCATTTCTGGTCGAGCCGCACAAAACGGTAGACGTAATATTTTTAAAATTATGTTGAAAATTTTAAAATTCTATGAGGCTAGTAGAATTTGGTAACCCTATGTCATAAGTAAACGTAATATCCTTTTAAGTGATACCCTTCTTTACATTGTAGTTTACATGAAAGAAGTTGCCAAGTTTACTTAATCGTACATCAACAATGTCTATTTGCATATTAGATCTATAAAGTGAAATCACTACTTACATTTAAACTTTAAATTTATGTATTTTGCATAATTAGTTTACAAATAGAAACAATACAAATATTTTCAATTTACATAAATTATATTTGGTTTTTAATTCCAATGTGAGAACGTTTTCTCGCTTTTTTTGGTAGAAATAAGTATAATGTTCAAATTATATAAAACTTATACAAAATATCTATTTATAACGTCACGCTCTCGCACGTGGACTAGGCAGAGAAAGCACGGTGACACCTTTCCTCGGTCTCCTCATAGGTATATCGAGTGTTTTTAGGGGAATGATTTATGAGTCTTAACGTGCAAAATATTTTTACAAATATTCACTGCATATTTGATAAAATTTTCATTTACAACAGCAATGATCTTATCACGATTTGGCAGAATTACTTTCGACTCGCAAAATCCTTTTTGTCAAATGAAAACGATACTGCAAAAGGAAAGGACGAGGCTCTCAATTAACCCTTTGTGCGTCGTAGTAATACGGCCTTGGCTAAATAATTTGTCCCACTGAACCTGTTCCGGCCTTTAGCTCCGCTCCCGAAATTGTAAGCGTGAAAATTTACAAGCGTGACCGCCCACGAGCGGTGTTATCTTTCCGTATAGGATTCGGCTCTAACCTTTGACGATAGTGATATTAGGTTCAAGACCTACTTGTTTTATCTAAACAATTATATTGTTTCATTCTATTCATAAAACTTTATTTATTTTGAATTTCTGAATTAAGCCCGTAGAAATGTTATAAATATTATTATTTGTTATTTTAATATGAAATGGAGGGTATAATTGAATGACATACATATATTTTTATGTAAATCGATAGAACTTTGCTAAGTATTGAGTAGTAGACAGACGAAAATCCTGTGGAAAAGCGGATACTACGAGTGCGGAGTGTATGATCCATGTATCGTAGTCATACATACATCCGTTTCTGGTTAGTGCTAGTGTTTCATTTGACCTACATTCTGAATATCTTTCAAAAACCGTATCGAATTCATTATATACATTAATTTGGACAGCTGATGACACAAGGTTAGCTACTGTACATCTGCCGCTTGTCGCTGCTATTCTTTCGATTACGCTTTATTAAAATTTCGATAAGCAATAACAAATTTAAAGGTTATTATTAATTTATTTAAATTATGTATTATATAAAACATTATACACAGACAATTTCTTTATCACCGTATCGTTTACTTTGTTATTTTTATATCATTGCGTAATGTAAAATGATCATATCGTGAGCATTTTTTTTTACTTTCAGCCGATATAATTTATTAACTACTCTATAAATACATTATTTTCTTAAATGATTACTGTTTATATTATAATTAACTGAAAAAATGAATGATGAGTAAGGAATGTTCAGAACTTAATGTGACATTCATACAAAATAAATGTGATAATGGCTGTTTTTTACACCACATTGAGATAGATTTAAATCAAACTTACCAATGACATAGTATTACATCATAAGGACGAGTATATGTCACTTTTTATTTCTTCCGCCGCACCATGAAATGCAAATGAAGCCTCCGGTAAAAACGGTCATTAATAACTGAGTCAGAAAAATACTATTTACAAGCGTGCCCAGTTATCTCCAGATATTCCTTGCGTATACGACGAGTTATCTCTCTTTATTTCAATTCAATTTAAAATTCTTTTTTTTTAAATATGTTTGGACATTAACACAGCACAATCTAGTTCCATGGTAAGCTACGAGTCTCGTGCTATAGATACCAGATATAACTTTAAATACATACATATTATAAATATAAACACCCATAACTGGAGTACAAACATCCGTGCTCATCATACAAATGAATGCCCGCAACGGGACTCGAACCCGCGACCGCTGGCGCAGCAAGTAGGGTCACGACAAAAGTGAACCAAACAAAATTCTAAAAACTATAGATTCGGGCTCTGTATCGATAATAATTACTATTTCGATAAGGTTTTTCAAAAAATATTTAATGTACAGATTCAACTTAGATTGAATATATAATTTTTTTAGAGATTGGGTTATATGGCGATAATACGTTTAGTCTCGTTTAAATATGAAAAGATAATTATATCATAGTGGGGATAAAGGTGGTTAGGCTTTTTATGTACATATTTTATAATTTTATACCCTCACGTACACTCTTGCAGACTTACCCCAGCCAGCTATAATGATTGCACGTTAAGTTTGTTTCAAATATAGCTGTATCTACGAGTATATATCAAACTCCTATTTCTTTTTCCAGTCCTCATGTGTGTCGGAGTCGCAACAGCACGCATTGCTGTCCCGGTTGGACCTCTCGACCGAATTCATTACTATGTGTAGTTCGTAAGTATACATTGCTGGTTATTATAGTGAGTATATTTAGGTATTTATTATATTAATAATTACTATTTCGATAAGGTTTTCCAAAAAATATTTAATGTACAGATTCAACTTAGATTGAATATATATTTTTTTAGAGATTGGGTTATACGGCGATAATACTTTTAGTTTCGTTTAAATAAGAAAAGATAATTACATCATAGTGGGGATAAAGGTGGTTAGGCTTTATATTGATACAGTGATAATTGTGATAGTATTTCATTTGTTATGAATTATGAAATACAGATGATATGATTTTTTACTTAGGTTCTAATTGTTTTACTTTTACTCGAATATTGCGGACACAAAAGGAAGGATATATATAAGGATTTGCTTTTGTCGAACAGTGCCTGTTTGTCGATCGATCGATGTTGTCTTTTATATTTTATCTCAAAAATGATTTAGCGATTATTAAAATCATAAGATATATCTTTTTATTGGCTGAACATTAAATGGGTAGGTTTTTTTTGCGTTATATTTTTGTTTTTGATATACACTTAATCACTCCACGTATAAAACTATATTGTCATTATTTACAGTAGCATTATTATTTATGTAAAAAATATCTTAATTTATAGAAAAGATAGCAAAATATGAACGATACACTCGGTGTAATCGTTTTTGGTCTACATTTTGCAATTTTAAAGCTACATTTTCCAGCATATAATTTAAATGACTCTCCCCCGCAGCTATCTGCCGGCCGGACTGCGGCGCGGGCGCGGGCGCGTGCGTGGCGCCCAACATGTGCCGTTGCCCCGGCGGCGTGGAGGCGCCCTCGTGCGGCGGCGCCACGGGACTCTACCCTTATCCTGGTCACTATAAATTTCTTTTTACTTTAACAAAAATACATAATATATGATATTTTTTTTAATTTTTTTTTACTGAGCTTTAAATACATTTACATTTTTTTATGATTAGTTATATTGTTTAATATTAATAATATGTAAAACACTGTCAAAAATTATCATAAAGCATAAATTTTAAATTTTGTACAACGTTATAGCACGAACGCGTGGTGGCTGTCGACGTATCTGCATGAACGGCGGCACCTGTACCAACGGCACCTGCGCCTGCGCGCCCGGCTGGAGCGGCGAGTTCTGCACAGAACGTGAGCTATATGAACTTTATTGTTTCACATAATATAAAAGTCTTTTTTTAAATAATCATAAAAGGATACACTTATAATAATAAGAATAATCAAATATTTCTATATTCAATAATAATAATTCAATACAAGATTGAAATATTTGATTAATCGAAGACTTTTTTTATGATACTTCACACGTATACCATATAATTATTTTTACAGAATAAAACTTAAATATATGTACACAATTATCCCACCAATGTGTAAGCAATGAATTATCGTTGTCGCAGCGATCTGCCGCGAGCCGTGCCTGCACGGCGGGCGCTGCATCGCGCCGGACCGCTGCGTGTGCTTCCACGGGCTGTCCGGCACGCGCTGCGAGATAGACCGCCGCACCGGTGCGTACCCGTCGCCCACCCTAGTCCCTACCCCACACTGATAAATCTATATATATAAATCTATAAAAATAAATGCATATGAAATTATATACGGTACATATGAGAAAAACATAATTTTTTAAAATGTTGTGTGTATGTTTGCCTTTGTGTTTGCTCCGTCTAATCTCTGAAATCGTTATACTGATTTTAACGAAACTTTCACTAGCAGATAGCTGGTGTTTTAAGGAGTAACTTAGGCTACTTTTATTTTAGAAAAATAATTAGGGTTCAACTGAAAAAATTAAAGGTTCCTAGACAACCGAGCGAAGCAAGAGTGAGTCGCTAGTAGAGGATAAAATGATTAAAATTTATGAATAATATGAATTATTTTGTTCAAGTGTTTATTTTTAATAGTTATTTTTTTGTTTGTTTGAATATTTATTAACTTATAAATATTCTATACACGAACACTGTGAATAGGTTCTGTGTAAAACCGCAATCATGAAGTTATAAAATGATTACATTGATTAGAAATATTGTTCTATGAATAAAGTGTATGGTTGCACTTATCCTTAATAACAAATAATTTCTATATATCTAAAAATTATGTTGTCATTCCGTGCAATAGTGACCAGTACATTTTAATTATTCTTATTATACTTAAGGACAAACAGACTTTAGTTGATTTTTTTTTGTTAGGTACCTCTTTGGTTTTAGCTAATTTAGTGATGTAAGTAGATTCATTAAATTTTAGGGCTAGGTTTTTATAGCATAATGTTAAATAAGGTGTTGTCAAAGCAAACAAGCAAGTGAAAAATGTAATAAGTTAAAAGGAAGAGTATAACGGTATGCGTATGTGCGTCGGGCCGCAGGGCCGTGCTACACGGACACGCGCGGCGCGCTGTGCACGGGCGCGCTGGAGGGCGTGGTGTGCACCAAGCAGCTGTGCTGCGCCACCGTGGGCGTGGCCTGGGGCCACCCCTGCGAGCGCTGCGCCGACCTGGACTGCCCGCCCGGACACCTGCGCAACCTCGCCACCAAGGAGTGCCAGGTACGCGCACGGACCTACGTGTCGCTACGTCTAAATTTGTATGATTTTTTTTAATTTTAAGAATAAATCTTAGCTCCACCGGTGATTTTTTACATAACTAATACATTAAAAGTACCATTCGTCCGTTTACGCTGATTGACAAATCACAAAACTCTTACCTACTTCTATAGTGAAAAGGTTTCAGGAGCAGCTATCATACTTTGTAATAATTTCCCGATGTGAATAATAACCAGGACATCGACGAGTGCCTGGCGGTGCCGGGGCTGTGCGAGGGCGGCAAGTGCGTCAACTCGGTGGGGTCGTTCTCGTGCGAGTGCGCGGCCGGCCAGCGCCGTCACCGCCTCTCCAACAACTGCGAGGACATAGACGAGTGCGAGGACCCCGACATATGCCCCGTACGTACCATACCTACTGAGAACTCCAAATTATATCTAAATTAGTAGTTTGAATCAAAGATTTAAAAAAAATATTAATACGGACATTTATAAATTAAGAAAAAAGTTTAAATTAATGTACAATTAATTTTCTTTTTAATATTCTAATAAACGGTTAGATGGTTCTGAACGGGTAAACTATCAGTTATGTAGTATTAACTTATTGGATATGAATGATGATGATATATAACTAAGTTCATTATCACTTGCAGAATGGAAAATGCGTGAACACGGAAGGAGACTACTACTGCTTGTGCAACCCTCATTTCATTCCTAGCCCAGACAAGAAGTTCTGTATAGGTGATTGTTTGTTTGTACTAGATTTATTGGAGTTCAATTATTTTATGTAAATTAAATATTATAAGCGTCTCCAATACTTTCTCCCATTCAAAACCAAAGTAATGCTAGCGCAATCCATCCTATTAACCATTCTCGACTACGCCGACGTCTGCTTCCTGGATGTGACAGAAAACTACTTAATAAACTGGAGCGTCTTCAGAATCTCGCCATACGTTTTATCTTTGGCTTGCGGAAATATGACCACATCTCTGACTTCCGTGCTCAACTTAAGTGACTCCCCATCCGTCTTCGCTGTAATATGCACACCCTATCATTCCTTTATAATATCCTTAAAATCAAAATTTCCCTCCTTACCTTCGTTCCCGTTTTAACTTTCTACCAATCCCTACACGTTCCAGAAGATCTTGCAGTTCTTCTATGCTTGACATTCCTAGGAGCAATACTAAATTTCAACAAAATTCTTTTTCTGTCCATGCTGCAGTACTATGGAACCAACTGCCCAAAACCATTCATGAGAGCCCATCTATTCATATCTTTAAATGTAAATTAAAAAATTATTTATTATCATAAATGTAGACAGTATCAATCAGTACCTTTCTCTATTTTCATATTTTATATAATAAGTATGTATAATGTATATGTATTCTGTATGTATTGTATTGTAGTATGTATGTATAAGTAGTCTGTACATTAGGTATTATATATATTTTTATAAGTAATATATGTATATGTATATATGTATGTGTATGTATGTATGTATATGTGATTATTATTACCTTTATTTCTAGTGTATATTTAGTATATTTTTTGCACTATATTGCCCGCTGACATCTTTCACAACCAGGGGTTGACTGGAAGAGATCTCTTTTACAGATAAGTCCACCTTTGTGAACTATATTTACTTGTGTAATTTTTTGATGAATATGTTTTAGAATAAAATATACAGTGTATGTTTATGACGTTTCCAGACGGCCGCGTGAGCAGCTGCTTCACGTACCTCGGCGAGAGCGGCGAGTGCGCGGACCGCCTGCCCATGCCGCTGTCCAACCGCGACTGCTGCTGCGGCTACAACATGGGCCGCGCCTGGGGTGACCTCTGCGCGCCCTGCCCGCCGCGCGGCTCCTGTGAGTGCCCTCTAGGCAGCGAGCACAACGCACGAGAAATAATCTCGATTCTTAAATATTATTCAATAAAATATTATTCAAAAAATAGAAAAATATATTCATAAATCCAAAAATATATTAATATATTCATATATCCATCATAACTGAACAGCGGAGTGGAGTCACCTGTGCGGCGGCGGGCTGGTGCCGCCCGACTGGCGCCGCAACGACACGCACGGCGGCGGCGGCGACGCGGGCGGCGGGGGGTTCGATGCCCAGCCCATCGCCAAGATCAACGAGTGCATGCTGCGCAGCGGCATCTGCGGCCTCGGCAACTGCATCGATAAGGATATTGGGTGAGTGTTGCAATTAGTGTGCATATAAGGACTACTTCTATCTATAAAAAAAATAAATCAATCAATCCCAATTATTTCTAAATTATCATTAAATTTTATATTATATTCTACTTATAATATTATAATATTCCCTCAATAATAGCTAAATAAATATTCATAATATATTTTGTATGACTACGCAGATACCAGTGCGAGTGCTGGGACGGCGCGGAGGCGGCGGAGCAGGACGGCAACCCCACGTGCATCGACATCGACGAGTGCGCGCTGCAGTACTGCAAGGGCGGCGTCTGCGTCAACAAGCCCGGCGGCTTCGAGTGCCGGTACGCAGTAATACACACACAAACATACATGTATACATGCGCATACGCAACTATGTGATATATTATTTTAAAAATATTGTTAGGATAGGAATAAATGCGTTCTTATTTTTATACTGAAAGAGTTAAATGAGGAATTTACTTTGGTGATTATTTATTATAAACTTTATTACTTATTGTATAGATGCCCTCCAGGCTTCGATCCTGTAGAAAACGGACTAAGATGTAGCGACAAGAACGAGTGCGAGATGACGAACGGCGGCATGTGCACTAACGGCGTCTGCACCAAAGTTGATGGAGGGTAAGTTGTAATAATGACAATACAAAAATAGATACTATCAGCCTAAATAGTCTTTCAGCTGAATTATAATGATGATGCATGATGATGAAATATATAATGTCTCAAAGAATCGTATAATACTTTCTGCCAAGTAAGCTGTCGATGTTAAGATGTCGCGTGTCTCGGTTGGGTGTCAGGTTCTCGTGCACGTGCAACCCCGGGTACGCGGCCACGGCCACGGGGCACGCGTGCGCGGACGTGGACGAGTGCGCCGACAACCCGCGCGTGTGCCGCCGCGGGCGCTGCCGCAACACGCCGGGCGGCTACCACTGCGCCTGCGAGCCCGGCTTCGCGCGCTCCGCCGCCGGCTACTGCGTCGACGTGGACGAGTGCCAGGACCAGGCTCTGTGCCAGGTCTCTATCACGCTTCGTTTATACTATAACTAACAAACAATATTATATGACTACTAGCGGACCCGACAGACGTTGTCCTGTCTACACGTCTTTAATTTGAAAATTTCAAACTTTTTTTAATAATTTTTTTGATGAAAATTATTATTCAAATTGTGAATCTAAACCATTCCCAGATCCCCTTGAACACACACAAAAAATTTCATCAAAATCGGTCCAGTCGTTTGAGAGAAGTTCAGTGACATACACACTCACAGAAGAATTATATATATAAAGATTAGATTATAATAAATGAAGTTTTTATTACTTTTTAACGTCTGATTTATTGAAACCGCATCATCCGGGAATTGATGGTTATTTAAAAAAAAAACAAGTTTTAAAAAGAAAAAGTTAGTAAAACTGAAAGTGATTTGATTTAATGTGATTTTTTTTTCTGAAGGATTCTTTGCATAAGTACGCAGGCAAACGTTATAAAAAATATTGAAGTTTTAACAGGACAACGTTTGTCGAGTCAGCTAGCAAAATAAGTAAACAGTATAAAAGAAAGGTAACATTGTATCGTACCGTGTTTGTTTGTTGCAGGGTGGGCGCTGCGTGAACAGCGAGGGCTCGTTCCAGTGCGTGTGCGAGGCGGGCTACCGCGCGGCGGCGTCGCGCGGCGCCTGCGTCGACGTGGACGAGTGCGCCGAGCTGCGCGTGTGCCGCAACGGCCGCTGCCTCAACGCGCCCGGCTCCTTCCGCTGCGAGTGCCTCCCCGGCTTCACGCTCAGCAACGACGGCCGCACCTGTCTCGGTACGCACGCACACACACTCGCGCACACTAATATATTCACAGTATTGGTACAATTTAACGACACAAAACATAACAAATGGGGACTCCTTAATGTAGTAATGTTTATGTATCTGTTATTTAATTTATTTGATATTTTATAATCAGGGTGTATTAAAAATATCATCATACTTATGATATGTTTTGTATTTTAGACGAAGTTCAAGATTTATGTTACGAGAAATATGAGGAAGGGCAATGTACCGGACCCGGCACCACGCCCGTTACACGATCCCAGTGCTGCTGCAGTTCTAACAAAGGTAATAAAATGATAATTTGTTTTAATAATGAAGTATTGACATATAAGAATTTAGTAAAGATTGTGTTTAGTAAAAATGAGGAAATTATTAAGGTTTAACGTATATGAAAATACAGTATTTTTATATCCATAATCCACAATTAAGTAGATTGAACTAGCGACTTTTAATGCTAGAAAAATTTGTATGCATACGTTTAAACTTAATCCATAAAATTTTCTCGTTTACATATTTAATTTCTTAAACATAAGGCGTGTCAGTAAGAGGTACTCGTGTCGTCCCAGGTCTGCAGCTGGGGTGGGGCGTGGCGTGCAAGGCGTGCCCCGCGGCGGGCAGCGCGGAGCACGGCGCGCTGTGCCCCGAGGGCGGCGGCAAGGACAACGGCGGCGCCGACATCAACGAGTGCACCATGGTGCCCGGCGTGTGCCCGCACGGCTCCTGCGAAAACCTGGAGCCCGGCTACCGCTGCCTCTGCGACCCCGGCTACCGCCCCGACGCCGCCGGCCTCTGCCGCGACGTGGACGAGTGCGACATGCACCAGTCGGTGAGCACCGCACAATATCGAGCGCACAATATCACCACACAATATACCGACTATGTCTCGCGTTGTGCTTTTATGAACTTTCTATATCATGAACAGGGAAACGATCATTCGAATTTTATATACATGATGTAGTTTAAGGAGGAATATGTACTTATATATAGTATTCACTGCTGATTGTTTGTTATGGCACCTACTGTCGTGCTATAAATAATATATATAAAAATACTCGTAATCCCTTCATATAGGTACATAATGATTTAATCATATAATGATATAATCTTGAAAAATGTCAAAAGATTCGAAAAATGATTGAAAATATCTTATAAAATGGAACATGAAAGTGTGTTATGTTTTTAGGCTCTTATTAATTTTGTGATGATCTAATATGTTGCACTGTATGTACTGATGTGATGTGACGTGTGTGCGCAGTACTGCACCGGCGGGCAGTGCCGCAACACGCCGGGCAGCTTCACGTGCGTGTGCCCGAGCGGCACGCGCTACGAGCCCGACGACCAGCTGTGCCGCGACATCGACGAGTGCGAGGGTGAGCTCACTTCCTTCGTGGAGTACGACCGCGGGGACATCCCGCCCGTGCTCCTGCGCGCAGGTTACCGACACTCTCACTGTCCGCTCGCCGACATCCGCCGACATCCGCCGACATTCGCCGACCACTCGCCGACATCTCCCATAACGCGGGCTCATTGCGACGACAGCGGGACATATTCTATTTATATACACAACATAAAAGATTATAACGTATGAGACTTTTTTGTCTGGCTGATGTGAAGTTCGTGTAGATATCAGGATTTTGATACAAAGGTTCAGTAACTAAATAAGACAAACCCTTATAGCATTACTAGTCTGTTTGTCTGTCCGTATGTCACACCCTCCAAATTTTCTGTACGGATATATTGTAGTTATTAACCTTTTGACTACGTATAGTAATAAATGAATTCTTATTTTGAGGTTCAAACAAAACAACGGATAAAAGGACTCGTTATGAGAAGTGGTATAGTTATATATATTTTGAAGGTACAAATATATTTAAGAAGAGGTACGAAAATTGAGCATGTACCCTAATTTATCTCTGAAACTACTGAGTCTAAAATTTCTAAAAACTATAACAGAATCTTTAAGACTTCTTTAAAATCAGATAATGTACGGAAACTTCTCTAGGCAACCCCTACTCGTACTTGACCATTTTTTTATTTAGAGTATCAGTTTTTATGTCAAACAATAATTTGGGACAAAATATTTGACAATATTGAGTTAAATCAGTTCATATGCCTATGACATTTCAATATTAAAACGTCATTTAACACATTCCACGCAATCAACATCATTGCACTGCTTTAAGCAATCATTTTAATAAAATATAAATAATATCACCTAATCTAAAATGTCAAGATTTATTATAATTCAGGAAGGTGAAATATGTTTAATATAAAAAATATCTTCAGAAACAAATCAGAAGAAATATATAATTTTGGAATGGGGGTAAAATATTCACGGGTTGTAGAGCAATAATAATTGGTCGCTATTCAGTGTATAATCACAGCACAGTGTAAAAAAGGCTGCCTAAAGATCAAAATATTCATGGCGAATGGTGGCAAGTTACTGTAAACCCGGCAATCTTGAAGTCGTTCCTGGCGTCTCACGGTTGCCCTGTCTAGATACCTTATAGATTAGTAGAGTGTGGTATAGTGTGATGTAATGTGGTGTACTGACGTTCCGCTTCCGCCGCAGAGCAATCCAACCCGTGCGACAACGGGCGCTGCATCAACACGCACGGCAGCTACGAGTGCGAGTGCGAGCACGGGTTCGTGCTCGACGCCACGGCGCAGCACTGCCTTGGTGAGTGCTCAGTACCTCTCATACACCATATTAGATGATGTAAATGCAACTTCAACTGTGTTTCAGCTTTATATCTACTATTATATTTTATGCGAAAGTTTGTATGTTTATGTTTGTTATTGCTTCTGGTTGAAACGAGTTTGGATGAAATTTAGTACACAGATTTAGTGGTAGGTCGCGTCCCCTACAGATAGATTATGAACTGAAGTAACACATAGACCATTGTTTGACATACGACGACGCACAGAGACGCACCCGATTAAAGCCAGGGTAAGTCACTAGTGTTATATAGAAAAATAATCATATTTTTTTTTTAAATAAACTATTAATATTTGTTTGATTTGTACTGTAATAAAATTGACTTTTTTGAATCTATTTTTATAATGAATCCCAAGTGAATGTAATATAATGACAACCGCAGACAACCGGCGCGGGTCGTGCTGGCGGCGCGTGGTGGACGGGCAGTGCGAGGCGGCGGCGCCCGCCACGCTGCTGCGCCAGGAGTGCTGCTGCAGCGTGGGGCTCGCCTGGGGCTCCCCCTGCGAGCCCTGCGAGCCCGACAACTGCCCCTGCCCCAAGGGGTTCGCTAAGGTGCCACTCGGCTTAGTGCTGATTTTCAGATTATTTATTAAAAGTAGTATACTTGACACTGGGCACTTTTCAAACTGTATAATGTTATGAAATAATGTATGCTATTTTAATTTATAAAAACAATCTAAGTACAGTTGTATTTATTTTTATCATGATGTGAATTTTTATAAGACAAAGAATAGTAAAATGTTTAATTACTCATAAAATATATTTTATTTATTTTTTAAATATAATCGCGTATATATTTAATAACACACGGGTCGGCCGGTGTCCGCAGCTGGACGGCGCCACGTGCCGCGACGTGGACGAGTGCATGCTGGACCCCGAGCTGTGCGTGGGCGGGCGCTGCCTCAACACCGACGGCTCCTACCGCTGCGAGTGCCCGCCCGGCCTCACGCTCGACCCCGCCGGTACGCGTATACTGTCATACTGTTGCTTACACTAGTTATTATAAAGCTTTTGTTGTTTCAATGTTCATAGAAATTATATATTATTTTTTTGATCATTATGAGACTACTATTATTATAGATGCGAAAGTTTGCTTAAAAGAAAAGTTAGTTTCTTTTTTTGAAAATATTTTACCATTTGAAATATGTATATAGTAATTTTTATTATTTAATGATTATATATTCCAATTTTATTAAAGAAATTATAGGAAAGATGTTATAGATGAAAAATAATAAAAATATTAACGATACTAGTGGGATGTGTCATTCAATTTAGTGATTCCACAATGGGATATTCCATAATTGTACACGTATACGTGCGCGCAGGCAACCGCTGCATCGACACGCGGCGCGAGGTGTGCTATGCGGAGTACGCGGCGGGGCGCTGCGGCGGCGAGCTGGCGGCCGTGCGCCGCGCCGTGTGCTGCTGCTCCGCGCTGGGCCGCGCTTGGGGCGACGCGCGCTGCGAGCCCTGCCCCAAGAAAGGTGACGTGCCTAACCTCACTTACACACTCGCAGATTTTACGATATTGTAATGTACCGTTTTAATACTAGCCCATTCATTTTAAACGTAACTGTTATAATATGCAAAATGTCTTTAATAAATAACAATTATCGAGGCGAACAGTTTTGAAATGAAAACGCTGTTATATAAAAACTTAAAAAAATAAAATAAAAACCGACTTCCAGCCCATGCAAAGCAAAGCACACCGACTTCGAAAATATTTGATTAGGTATGTATAGTTAATGAAAACTACCAATCAGTTATTTTTTACTTTTTAGTGCTTTTGTTTGAAGTCAGTTTTTATTTTTTTGTTAAAAAGTTTTTCTTTTTCCCTTTTTAGTGTAGACAGTAGTAGCAAAGTAAGAATTCTAACGTGTTAGGCTTGTCAAATCAAACAAAATAAGCCCAAACTCAAAGTATCTACTATTAGCCGTTGAAGAGTTCCACCTATCCACCTTCTGGCCTTACCATTAGATCAGGTCAACAATACCGAACCACTGTACTATCAACGGAAATAGAAACACTTGCAAAGTTTGAAGTCAATATGACAATTAGAAGTAGGTTAAATTCATCATTAGCTATTTTTCCACCCTTAGGGGTGGTATTTTTTTTTGAAATTTAAATGGGACCAATTTGGAAGTATACACTTTCAAAACACATAAAAATTGTCCAAACCGGTTAATAAATGACGGAGTTCTGAGGTAACAAACATAAAAAAAATACAGTCGAATTGAGAACCTCCTCCTTTTTGAAGTCGGTTGAAAAATAAGTATAGCACTTCGCATGTACCGCCGTATTGTTCTGCCTGGATGCTTTCGTTAGACAACTATATGAATTAGGGACTTATAAAATAGCACAAAATGAAGTGTACCAACAAAAATTATTTTCTTATATAGGAACTGACGCATATCGAAACTTGTGTATCGCGGACGTGGGCACGTCGCCCACGGTGTGGGAGCGGCCGGGGCCGGGCGCGCCCAACCGCACCGACCTGTGGGGCGCGGGGGGAGGCGCGGGCGGCGCGGGCGGCGGCTGGGACCTGGACGCGGGCTCGCTGTTCGGCAACGACAGCCTGGAGCACTGGGGCCCGGGGGGCCCCGGCCTCGTGCCCGGCCAGATGGAGGTCAACGAGTGCGCCGCCTTCCCCGGCCTCTGCGGCCACGGCCGGTGCAAGAACATGCTCGGCAGCTTCACCTGTGAATGTTTCCCCGGATATGAGAAAGTAAGTGCTTAAATTTTTTTATTATAAATTAAAAGTGGTCAGTTCGTTAATTGACATCTGCAACATAACAAGATTTGCAGATACGTTGCTGGCCTTAAGATTTGTAGACACGACTCTTGAAAAGCCGCATATTATAGCGGTCAAGGAAAACCTCGGGAGCAAGATGGTGCCATAAATATAATTTATGTTAATTGGAGTAATAATAGATTGTTATGATAATCAATCTCTTTCTATATTTAAACGCGTTTTCACCTGAACAATGGCGTGGCAGGACTCCAAGAACCACTCGTGCGTGGACGTGAACGAGTGCGAGATCGTGGACGAGGTGTGCGGCGCGGGCGAGTGCCGCAACACGGAGGGCGGCTTCGCGTGCCGCTGCCAGCCCGGGTACACCAACGACGACCTCTCCAAAGTCTGCGTCGGTGAGCTTACGCACACTCTGTGCCTCTTGTGTTACATTCTGAAATGCACATTGGTTGATACATGTAGAATTGTTATAAAACTAACGTTATATGTATGTCTGGTATTTTAAAAGGTTAAAAAATGTATTTGAATACAATATTTTGATGTGAGTAGTCCCCATATTTTGTAATAAGTTTCCCTCAAAGAGGGATATTTCTATGTATGATTAATTATCAATATATATATGTACCAATCCTCAATATATAGTGCTCGGATTGAAGTTTATGTATTGACGTAAGATATTAAAGTACAGTAAACGTGTCGCAGATGTGAACGAATGCGCGGAGAACCCGTCGCTGTGCCGCGGCGGGCGCTGCGTCAACACGCCGGGCTCCTTCCGCTGCGAGTGCGCGCCCGGCATGGAGCTGGCGCCCGACCGCCTCTCCTGCAAGGACGTGGACGAGTGCTCCATCACCTCCGGTACGCGTCACACTTCTGACTACTGTTATAATTGCAAAAATTTGTGATGTCTGTTCTTTATTTCCCTTGAAATGGATAAAATGTGGATGTTTAGTGTAAAGATAGGCTATAACCTGAAGTAACACATACACTACGGTCGGCATCTAGGGAGGCACCGAGCGAAGTTAGTAGTAGTAAATTGCTAGTAATATAATAATAATTAAATTATTTTAACGTCCTGTTGTTTTGAACGAGTCTCCTTCAATATGAGAGAAATCAAGCTACGCTGAATATTTTTGCATCTTTTTTAATGAATATAATAAAATATAAGCAATGGAATGTACTGAATGTATGTATGGTTGTATGAGTGTATGTGTGTTTGCGCAGGCATCTGCAGCAACGGCGCGTGCGAGAACCTGATGGGCACGTACCAGTGCGTGTGCGACGAGGGCTACGCGCAGACCAGCGTCAAGTCGCACTGCGACGACATCGACGAGTGCGCCGAGGACGCCACGCGCTGCCAGCACGACTGCGTCAACACGCCCGGCTCCTACCACTGCACCTGCAGGTACTACACTACACTACACCACACGAGACAATACATATCAACATTGATATACAAAGGATAAAAGGAAAGAGTGTTTGCTTGTAAGCGATAAATGTTGAAACTACTGAACCGACTCTAATTTAAATGTAAAATGTAAAATTGAGGATTCAAAAGTGCTTGTGAAAGTCTATTTGAATAAAGTATATTTTGATTTGATTTGAATAACTAATTCATTTTTTTTAGCTTTTAAAAAAATCCCGACTTCCAGGCACTAAAATGTAAAAAAATAACTAAACGAAGGTTTTCATTTCGAATAGATGCCGATACAAAGCAAATAACAAAAAAACAAAGCAATAATACTTTCTTAGATTTACGCGAATGTTTGACATTATTAAATAAAACTATCTTTTCGGATTATTTCGCGGATTTATTTTGATTTTTGGTTCCCGTCGTTTCGAATGCTTTACAGCATCCATGGTCACGGGAGAGACTGAGGTGTTACATGTCTTAAAGATATAGTTGTTACAGACAGCCTACCCACAATTAACAAAATGAAAATTGCACCAATTACATTACAATATTTTTAACTTTAAACATTTTTATAATTTTAATTATAATTGAATATGGAAAATTATTTATTTAATTTTTGCTATTATTTTTATAATTATTACAATTTTAAAAATATTAATTAGTAATCTATATTTAGTGTTGCCATTATTATATTTATAACCATAAATAAAAATATAAAAATATAGTATTAATTATTAAAGCCATATAATTGTTCTATGTGTAGTTTTGGAAGTCGGTTAAAAAAGAGAAAAGTAGTGATCATACATATAACCTCTTTTTTTTGGAAGTCGATTAATGATAAATGACGCCTTGTCGTCAGTTAATAATATGTAGAGTATCGTAAAGTATGTTTGCCACGTGTCAGGGAGGGCTGGCACCTGCGCGCGGACGGGCGCACGTGCCGCGACGTGGACGAGTGCAGCGGCGCGCGCGTGTGCGGCGGCGGCGCCTGTCGCAACACGCCCGGCGGCTACCTGTGCGAGTGCGGCGAGGGCCTGCTGCCCGCGCCCGCGCCGGCCAAGCCCACCTGCCTCGACGTCGACGAGTGCACAGACGTATGTACACACGTTGTATACATAATACACATGTTATTTCATATAAATCATATAAATTATCTTCTGCTATTACGACTCAGATGCAGGATCTTTGGATCTGCAGCCGTACGTTCTATCATTATTGTTATGTTTGGAAATGTATTTACGCATACCACTTGTGAAACAGATAGTTACGTATAGACCACAACACGAGAAATTAAGAGCAACTTAATGTGTTTTTCAGCTTTAATATTATTTAATTACCGACCGCTATACTGCGTTTTCTAATACATGTTAACTCATATCTAATGAGGTTATTTTCAAAGCAAAAGATTAAGTAAAATATATGCGTGCGTATACTTCATATTAAATTATTGGTTTTTTAATTGTTGTTGTTTTAAAAGCGTCAGTTTTGGACAAAAGAACTAACTTAACAATATAACAAATGTCATATGCTTGTAATGTCTAAGACTATATATACTAAAACGTGTCGGTGTGGGCGTGTGCGCGGCAGATCCCGGAGCTGTGCGGCGCGGGCGAGTGCCGCAACACTATCGGCAGCTTCGTGTGCCGCTGCCCCGACGGCTACAGCGTGAAGCCCGAGCTCGGGCCCGCCTGCTCCGACGACGACGAGTGCGAGCTCGGCACCTGCGACTGCCACCCCGCCGCCGACTGCATCAACCTGCCCGTAAACACTACCTTTGTTCTTTAATATAAACTTATTTTGACATAAAACCAATATTATATATTGAAATTTAATTCGATTTCGTATTAAACTTTAGTTGTATTATAATGAATGGATCATTTGTGATAAGTTCTTGTATGAATAGTTAACTGCATAAGTCAGAATTTGAGAGTCAAAAGAATAAACTGCACGTTGTAATTTGTAAACACAATATGTACTGTGTAACTTCTGCATAGATGGCTAGTTTCGATGAAATTGCCCGAAATCGATCATTATCATTGTCAATTTGCTCGCCAGAATTGAATTACAATATCAACTTTTTTTTATAAAACTTCTTTAACTTTTCTTAATAATTATGTAGATATATTAGTTTAAACACATTCGACTCGTTCTGTGAGCGCAGGGCTCGTTCCAATGCCGCTGCCGCGACGGCTGGCGCGGCGACGGCGCGGAGTGCGAGGACGTGGACGAGTGCCTCAGCAACAACGGCGGCTGCCACCCGCGCGCCGCCTGCCGCAACACCGACGGCTCCTTCCTCTGCCTCTGCGAGACCGGCTACAAGGGCGACGGGTACGCACGCGACCAGGAGATCCTATCGAGTCGGATAAAAATATGGACTTGCAATTCCAATGACTTTTTTGTAGTTTGAACATAGAGTGACTTTATGTTTAAATTGATACACCTAAGTTTAGTTTGAAAATCAATAATTGTAGGAAAAACAATAATATCAGATTTACAACGAAAACAACCTTGAAGCTAGTAATTTACGGTGAATCGGAGAAACTCTTATGATTCTTCGCGATATTAGCTGGTTTTCTGGTTATTAGCAATGAAATGAAAGAACCTGTGTGAACTTTGGTCAAAAATTTTACTTTTTACAAAAACCATATATACATATGGAAATTACCATGGGACCATCATTAGTTGTCACAAATGCAAAGTATAATAATATTTTTTGTGTATGGCAGCTACTCGTGCGTGGACATCGACGAGTGCGCGAACGACCCGACGCTGTGCGAGAACGGGCACTGCAGCAACACGCCCGGCGGCTACGAGTGCGACTGCGACGTCGGCTTCACCAAGTCGCCCGACGGCAAGTCCTGTCTCGGTGAGCCTTGTGTTATGTTTCATTCACTATAGGATCAAGATTCAAGACACAGTGTAAATATCACTTATAAACAACGACTCCCTTGATTAAAAGTTACTTCTTTCTTACTTTTATTATTTTACCTCTTAGCATTTCATGGGATCAAAGGAGCCCTTTGAAAGGCTTGCGTGGGGACACAGGTCCAACACGTAGAGGCCCCTTAAGAGATTGCCCAATAATGACTTCCGGATAATGCACAGGGACTATGGGAAACTATTATTGTTAATATTAAGTAAATTATTATATTTGTTGTTTTTAAAGTCAAATTCATAGAAATATAAAAATAAGGATCTAAAATTCATGATCACCTCACCTTTTTTTTTTTTTTTTTTTTTTAACGTTGGGAAATGCATTTACGCACGACGTGTGGGACTCACCGGCGTAATACAGCCAGTACTACCCACTAAAACCCACAGCAACCCGTCCCCGCAGTCTTAATGGGGCGTCGCAGGATCGCTTACGCATTCAACTACGACGCCCCGACGGCAGGTCTGCCAAAGCAGACCACCACAACCTTGGGGTTGCTCCAAGGTCCACTCTGCTATCAGAGAAGTACCAGGAGCAACCCGCAAGGTACACCGCCCCCCGAAGAGGGCCACCTCCCACCGCCCACCGAAGTGGGCCACCTCCCACCGCCCACCGAAGTGGGCAACCTCCCTGTGCGTTTCTTAGCTTCGTACTACTACTGAGCCCCCCCACCACGACAAGGTGAACGCACGTTGGGGGGGATGATCACCTCACCTAACCTAACCTCCAGTATATCTTATGTATTATAATATTATTCCTATAATAATTATAGAGAAATATCCTCAAAATGCAGAGTATTTAGAAAAATGTAATTCTTGCATACCTACACATGTAAGTTTTTAGTAATTATTGCCGCGGCTCCCTCGTGTGGTTGTCTTATGTTTATCTAGGATATAACGTGTATACATTTTGAAGTTAATTTGACGTTACAACATAAGTAGTAACAAATATATTTCCAAAGTCGCACAATTGTAACATGCGTGTGTCTCTTTGTTTGCAGACATGGACGAGTGCGCGACGTTCGACAACGTGTGCGTGTTCGGGCGCTGCGTCAACACCTACGGCATGTTTAAGTGCATCTGCGACAAGGGCTACCAGTCCGACAGCGTCGACGACTGTAAGCATCACTGCTACTGCTTATCACCCTTGGCTCATTTCATTTCAAAATATTGCCTTGAAATTTTAAAAGATTACAATTATATCATATACTAGCATTGCCCGCGGCTCCGCCCGCGTTCAGATGACCAAAACCAAATTCTTAGGTTTTACATATTAGAATATTCTTACATTGCACTTTTTGTATTTTTTCTTAGAAATTCAACATTTTCTTGCGGTAAACAGTATCCTATATGTTGACCCGGATAAACACGTATCACCATACCAAATTTCATTAAAATCCCTCTAGTGGTTTTTCTGTGATGCGGTAACAGACAGACAGACAAAAATTTTAAAAACGGAATCGAAAGAAAAATTTCAATAAGATTTTCCAAAAAATATTTAATGTACAGATTCGGCCTAGTTACAATTTTATTATATGTATAGATTTATTATATTACTATTTATTTTAATTATATATTCACTTTCATCATTGTTAGTCGACTATTTTATTATATGTTTGTTCATTAGTATGTTAATTTATACGAAAATCGAACTGTTCTTGGCGTTAAGGGAAATATGTACACGAATAGATTAGATGGGTAATTTTCATGATATCTATAAAATCAAAGAGATGGGAAGTAAAACATAATGATGATTATTTGTGTCTGTTTCCCAGTGATGCCGGGCTTCAACTGCACGGACGTGGACGAGTGCAAGTCGCCGCAGTCGTGCCAGTACGGCACGTGCGTCAACACGCAGGGCTCCTACATCTGCCGCTGCCCGCCCAACTACGACCTCGTCTCCGATGGAACTGCCTGTTATGGTATGCGAACTCTATGTATCATCAATGTTCTTCCCGGCCGAAAGATGTTCACTGCTGGGCAAAAGCATATGTCGGCGGAAAACTTTATGGGCAGCAGGTCTTGTGTTATCAACAATTTTAAATAAAGAATTATTGAATTATACAAAGACGAATTTTAATGATCTGAGCACTTAAAATTCGGGGAAAATATTTTTAAGATAACTTACTATCCTAAGAAGTTTGCTTAAATAATATCATTAATATAAATGTGTGACTCCATTTTTACAGATTCCAGAAAAGCTCGTTGCTACAGCAAGGTCGATCTACGGTCAGGAACTGAGCAGTGTCGTGACAGCGACGAGTTGTCTGAAGATGGTACTATGGCGGCTTGTTGCTGTTCAGTCGGTTTGTATACATTAGTGTTACTACAATTATGTTATGTTTATATTGGATCGATTTAAAAAAAATATAATTTTTTTGATATGTAATTAATATTTAATATCTTCTTACAGGTGCTGCTTGGGGTAACTACTGTGATCTCTGCCCTGAACCTGGCTCAGAAGCATATAGACAACTGTGTCCCGGTGGACCCGGTTATCAACCTATTTTGGAACCGGTAATTATGATTTTTAGATTTGTTTTAACTACTATAATGATTAGTGATGAAATATTGATAAAATTAAAATTTTCCTAAAACTCCATATTTGGTAATAAAAGAAGTATAATATTCTATAGTGTGTGTCCATTAATATGGGATTATTGATGTGTACTACTGAGAAATGTTCGAAGCCAGCTAACGCACAGTGTGCCCGCAGCCGTCGTACGTGGTGACGCTGGCGGACATCGACGAGTGCGCGGCGCACCCGGCGCTGTGCGCGCACGGCACCTGCACTAACACGTTCGGCTCGTTCGTGTGCACGTGCGGCGCCGGCTGGGCGCTGGCCGGCGAACGCTGCGAGGACGTGGACGAGTGCGCCGCCGACGTGTGCGGGCCCGGCGTGTGCCGCAACCTGCCCGGCTCCTACGTCTGCCTCTGCCCCGAGGGATACGTCGCCATGCCCAACGGCAGTCAGTACATCAGTTGTTCTCGAGATAGAGTTGTGATAAAATTATAGCTAAAATACCATCGCCCTAATTCAATATTGGTATTTCTAAAATCAACTTATTGTTTATCAAAAAGTCTGCCGTTATAGTAACTTCTATAATAATTAAATAATAAAACAATTTTCGGATAATTTTAATGACAATGCTAACTATAACTCATTACGCAAAAATTCCAGAGGAGTGCGTGGACGTGCGCCAGCGCCAGTGCTACATGGACTGGGAGCCGCAGACGGAGAGCTGCTCGTCGGCCGTGGGCGTGCCGCAGACCAAGTATCTGTGCTGCTGCTCCGTGGGGCGCGCGTGGGGCGCACCCTGCGAGCCCTGCCCCGACAAGGGCTCGCCCGACCACATCGCGCTCTGCGGCGAGAAGCCCGGCGAGTACATCAACCCCATGACCAACGAGACGCGCCCCATCGACGAGTGCGACATCATGCCGCAGCTCTGCAAGCCCGGCACCTGCCACGACACGCCCACCGGCTTCCAGTGCGGCTGTGACCACGGGTGAGGCGCAATCGAGATTGCACAGTTATGAAAAGTATTTCGTCTTTAAAATATTTTCTATAAGTAATGAAATGTGCATAATACAATATATTAAGGACTTGAATGAAATAAAAATTTCGAATTTCGAACCGATTTCGGTTATAATGCTCAATCTTACTAAGACTAGCGCAGATCCAAGTGTAATCTGTTTCTCAAAACGGGACGAGAACTGCACACAGCTCTAATTCCACGTCTAGGCTACTAAGTATTGTATGACAGAAAAATTCAATAGCTATATTTTTAGCACAACCCGGGGCCTAAGGCTGTGACCTAACCATCTTCAACTGTAATGTTTTTAATTATTTAATATAATAATATTTAAACAACTTAAGTCTAAAATTAAAAATATATGTTGAATAAAGCTTATTACACTATTACGAAATACTTTGGGGATGTCAATGTGTTGGGTCTCACGTAGGATAAGTACATAATAATTGTATTGCAATATTGTAAACAAATATTTAAAAAAAAAGTAACTATTGAGTTTCTCGCCGACTCTTCTCAGAAGAACTGCCTTCCGAGCCGGTGGTAGATTCCTCATGGACGTACATACTGACATTTAATTTAAATTTTGAAAATGTAAAAGTGACGATTCAAAAGTGCTTGCTTGTAGAAGTCTATTCGAATTAAGTATATGTTTGATTTGACAATAACCAGTCGGCAATGTATCGGGCAGATATGAGCACGACAACACGTCGCACCTGTGCCGCGACGTGGACGAGTGCGCGGCGCGGCCGGCGCCGTGCCGCGGCCTGGCGCAGTGCGTCAACACGCCCGGCGCCTTCGAGTGCCGCTGCCCGCCCGGCTACCGCCTCGGCGCCTCGCTCGACGAGTGCGACGACGTGGACGAGTGCGCCGACCGCCGCCTCTGCGACCACGGCGACTGTCGCAACACCATCGGATCCTATCGGTACTTATTCACTTCTTGTGTATCTATACCGGTCTATTATTACGTAGGCTTCGTGGCTTCATGACACGCAGGCTTCTGTTACGAGGGTGGCGACGCGAGGGTACGTCGCTGCTGAATATTATAAAAAAAATAACTGTGTAATTTAGTAAATTGTGAAAGATAGATTTTATTGTGTGTTCTTTTATGTTTATGAGACTAAGCGAGTGATATTGCCTTTTAAATATCTATTTATTAGTTTCCAAGATCAACACACATATTTTACCGACAAATAATAAATGATATAACTCGGTGTGCGCGGCAGGTGCGAGTGCAAGGCGGGCTACACGCTACGCGACAACGCGTGCCGCGACGTGGACGAGTGCGCGCGGCCGCGCCCGCTGTGCCGCAACGGCACCTGCGAGAACGTACCCGGCTCCTACCTCTGCCACTGCGATGAGGGGTTCAAGCCCGGAGCTAATAACGACTGTATAGGTCGGTGCACTGTTAATAGTTATTTGAATTTCTGAAGCTATAATAAAAATATTTTAAAAACCTTATTGATTGGACATTTTTATAAGCACAGATTTGAGTATGAAATTTGTTTATTTTTATGTACATTTGCTAGCGCAAACACACGAGTATTGATAAAATTGTAAAAAAAACCTACAATAACACAAAAAATTATTAAAAATGAGCACTCAAGCATTAAGGCAATTTAGCATGATCAGAAACCTAAAGGAATAGTAATGCTAGGATTCACCAACCTAATTTACAAAAGAAAATTCCTAATAAATGTCGACATCCACCGACGCGCGCAGACATCAACGAGTGCCGCGAGGGCGGCGCGGTGTGCCGCAACGGGCGCTGCCGCAACACGGCAGGCTCGTTCCGCTGCGAGTGCGCCGCGGGCTACGCGCTGGCGGGCGACGGCCGCAACTGCCGCGACGTGGACGAGTGCGCCGAGCTGCCCGCGCCCTGCGGCCGCGACGGCGCGCCCGCCTGCACCAACACTAACGGCGGGTTCGTTATACTTATATATTTACTATATTATATATTTTGCTTATATTTTAAATGTCATCATTTTAGCGTTAGAAATTCATTATTTATCTCATGTACTGGCAAAAAAAACAAACAACAAGCAGTAACCGCAACTTAAGTGTCTTTATGTGCTATAAGATTTGCTTGATATGAGTGAAAGAAAACTTAGAGAACAGAGCGGAAAAAGGGAGAAAGGAATATAATGCATTTGTTATATTTAAAACTACATATAATATAACATATAAAGTTTTATCCCAGACCATATGATTATATGAAGATAGATATTTTGTGAGTTGAGTAGGGACTAAGTAATATGGAGATTGTGTGTCAGGTACGAGTGCTCGTGCGGCGCGGGCTGGCGGCTGGCGGGGCGGCGCTGCGTGGACCGCGACGAGTGCAAGGAGCTGCCCTACGTGTGCGCCGGCGGCGACTGCCACAACTTCAATGGCGGGTCGGTCTACCTCTTAAACTTCTTCTAAGATTTATCGACGTTCTATATCTACTACCTACAAATATATAAAATAGAAGTGTCTGTAATGGCCAAATAATAACTTTTTTACTAAATGAACATGAAAGTATATATGGTATTAATAAATTAAAAAAAAAAGAATAATTATTGTCCATCTGTTTGTTTCGGATTATCTCCAAAACGGTTGGACCGTTTTTAATGGAACTTTCACTCTATAAGGAACAACTGAGACTACTTTTATTTTAGAAAAAAAATGGGTTCCGCTTAAAAAAAACTTATGAAATTGTATACAAAATCCGCGTGCCCGAGCGAAGCAAGGGTAAGTCGCTAGTTCTATTCTTTCTATTATAAATGCGAGAGTTTAAATATGGGTGTATAAGTTTGTTACTCTTTCATACTGATTTGGCTTGACGGATACGAATTTTAAGTAAACTAATGATTATGACTTGAAGAAACACATAGGCTATTATTAGGTACCTAGAAACGCACCCAAAGTCGTTAATTTATAAATGTATTCATTACGCTAAAAATATATTGCTTTATTGTTATAAAAGTTATATAATATAAAACTATTAATGATTCAACTTGTCATGTTAATTGTAATTTGTCATTGATAATTAAAAATAAAATTGACAATATTTTTACAACAAATATTATCTAATCAGATACCGGTGCGACTGTCCCGCCGGGTGGAGGTTCGACAAGGCGGCGGCCATCTGCGTGGACGAGCGCAAGGAGCTCTGCTACGACGAGTGGGACGCCGGGCGCTGCCACCGCGCGCGCCCGCTGCAGCTCGGCCGGCCCGAGTGCTGCTGCTCGGAAGGTATGCCCCAAGCTAAATAGGCTTTAGTACAAGTTTATATCAATCAATGTCAATCTGTAGTTGCATGGGTATTTCTCCGAGATTGAGATCCAAATATTATTTGGCATGTCTTTAATCATAAAAGTATGTGTGTATGTAAGTATGAATAGAGCCAAAAATGAAAATAATTTTTGGCCAGATTAATCAGATGAAGAACGCAGTCTCGGAGAAATACTCGCATGTTAGTAAGATTGACTGAAAATAGATGTGCGATAACAATTATATTAGAAAGAATTTAAAAATAATAAACAATGTATGAATATATCCAAAATATTATTGATTTGCTAATCGATAATTATGAATGATAACTATGGTACGACGCAACTCGCAGGAGCGGCGTGGGGCAGATACTGCGAGCGCTGCCCCAGCCCTGAGTCGGCGGAGTTCCTGCGCATCTGCCAGGGCGGCATGGGGCGGCCCAACCTCACGCAGGACCTGGACGAGTGCCGCGTGCGGCCCGACGTGTGCCGCGGCGGGCGCTGCGTCAACACGGACGGCTCGTTCCGCTGCGAGTGCCCGCCCGGCTACGCGCTGGACGCGGCGGGGCTCGCCTGCGTTGATGCCGACGAGTGCGCCGCCGACCCGCGCGTGTGCGGCAACGGCACCTGCACCAACACGCCCGGCGGCTACGAGTGCCGCTGCAACCAGGGCTTCACGCAGGGACCTGACCAGGTCGACACTTGTTAACCGAATTATGTTTTTATATTTACGCGAATATTTATATAATTTTTTTGTGTTTGCTTTAGCAAATATGGTCACGAAAAAGGAATTTCTTCGAAACGTCGGAAACAAAAATTGAAAATAAAACGATAACAAAATATGAAAATATTATTTTACTTAAAAATGTGTAGATACTTTTTGATCGTATTGATTAATTTTGATAGTCAAAATATGAAAATCATACTAACTTCCCACGACATAGTAAAAAATAAACTACTTTTATCGTTTACCATTTTCATATAAATATAAACAACAAGATGGTTCAATAGGCGGCCTCACTGCTAAGTGAGCAATCTCTTTTAGGCTATCCAAGAAAATTATATTATATTTTTTATGAATATTATTTGAACTCGTAATATATCTACTGCAGACGTGCGTGGACATCGACGAGTGCGCGGAGGGGCGCGCGGCGTGCTCGTTCCGCTGCCACAACACGGCGGGCTCGTTCCGCTGCACCTGCCCCTTCGGCTACCGCCTGGCGCCCGACGGCGTGCACTGCCGCGACGTGGACGAGTGCGCCGACCGCGAGCGCGCCGCCTGCGCGCACGCCTGCGAGAACGTCGTCGGCTCCTACATATGCAAGTGCCCCGAAGGTAACACCGAACTAAATATTGTTTTACTAGCGAAACTACCGTTTGACAAACAAAAACAAATTTATCCCACGGCAACCGTACGTTTTTCCGGGATTCAAAGTAGCCTATTAGTTATTCTGATGTATGAACCATATTATTGTAAAGTTTCATTAAAATCAATACTATAGTTGAAACAAATAGATGAAAAGTATCTAAGATGTTGACCGGGGATATAAGGTACCACCATGCGAAATTTCATTTAAATCGGTGCAATAGTTTCGGAGATTAGCCCGTACAAACAGACAATCAAACAAAGAAAAAAAATGTATTTGTTCTATTTCTCTTCTTATATCCCCTTTACTCGGTTTTTAGTATTTTTTTTCTATGTACAGACATTCGACCTCTACAGTTTTACTATAGTAGAGGTTTATATGTATGCATATTCATAACGTTTTTATAAGTTATGTGACAATTGGTTTGTTTTGTTCTCATATTTACTCATTTTCTAAGATTCCGCTATAATTTACTTTTGCTCGTCTATCAAAGCCAATTTATTCAAAAAAATGTTGGTACTAAGTGTATTGTTAAAAGGAATATAAATCTAATACGAAACTTTAGAAAAAGTTACAGTAAAATTACAAAAAATTGGTATCAGTCCAAAAGTAACTGATGTGAAAAAAATGAATGTATATAAATCCTGATATCTTTGGTGTATAAATATATTAAACAAGTTTTCTTAGTTATGCATTAAAAGTCGAACATTGTGTTCTCACGTTATCATACTTGAAGTTAACTGTTTCTTTTTAAATGTAATCGCGTCACAGGCTACAGGCGCACGTCGGCGCCGCACGACGCGCCCGACGCCTGCGAGGACATCGACGAGTGCGCGGCGGCCGACGGCGGCGAGCTGTGCGCGCCCGGCGTCTGCATCAACACGGACGGCGGCTACGCCTGCGACTGCGACGCCGGCTACGAGCCCAGCGACGACGGCCGCGCCTGCCTCGGTCAGTGCCCATGCCTCTACTTGCATTACTGTGACCATCTCATCGTCACCAACAGTCGAAAGACATCCACTGCTGGACGTCGGCCTCCCTTAAAGATTTCAACGGCTGCCAGTTTTGTTCCATCCTTCACTTTATGAAAGGTTGCGCTTTGTCATCTGGTACATGATTCATCAGTTCTGGGAGTTTTGATCCTCGCTTATTTTCACTTAAGCTATACCTATCTATGTAACATGCTAAAAAAATACTTTTATGTGTTCAATTTTGTAATTGATTTTAGCAGAGATTACTAGTGTATTTAAAAGTCCATATTTGAACTTGGTAGAACCTATTTATTAAACGCTATTTATTACTTTAATAATTAAAAAATATATATTAAAAAATACGGTTATTGTTACTACGATATCAAAGAAGATAATCGACTTATTAACGAAAATACTTAATATACGAGTCTATGATATAAATAAATAATAAACGTTTGTGTGTGTCTGTCAGACCGGCGCACGGGGCTGTGCCACCGCTCGCTGGTGGAGGGGCAGTGCGTGCCGGAGCCGTGGCCGCGCGCGCTCGCCTCCACGCCCGCGCCGCCCACACAGCTCACCAAGTACGTATTCTATATTTTTTATACTACAAATTGTTCCATACGTTCATATTACTTCCTTCACTTTTAACACTATAAAAATTCATACAGTACACCACTATTTATCGATTTTACTGATTAAACCTTTTTAGACTCTATACGCTTTCGTTCAGTGATAGTATGTATTAGTAAGGTGTGCTATTACTGTTTTAAAAACTTCTTATATAAACTTCAATATCATTTACCAAAAATAAGTTATTTTATTTTTAAAATTGATAAAATATGACGTAAAAAAAGATAACTAAAAGATAACTTTATAAGATAAATTGTAATAATTCGTTTCCCAGAGCGCAATGCTGCTGCACCCTGGGGGTGGCGTGGGGCCCGGAGTGCGAGCTGTGCCCGGCGCCCGGCAGCCCCGAGCGCCTGCAGCTGTGCGCGCGCACCAACCTCTTCCCTGGTACTATCGGCGGCGGCGGCGTCATCGGTGGCGGCAGCGAGACTGGCCTCATACCCGACATATACGGTGACGTGGACGAGTGCGCCGCCATGCCCGAGCTTTGTGCTCCCGGACGGTGCATTAATACTATTGGAAGGTGTGTGGAATTATACATTTTTCAAATAATTTATACTTAGTCTAGATGCAACAACGTGCCCGCTCAATTGAACGCTTAGTGGTGCAAGGAAGGGTAGAGGGCACCAAAGCGCGTGGTAGATCGACCATGAGGTAGACGGACCGAGTCGGAGCGGTAGTAGACGTTTCACTGCATGAATGTGCGAGAAAAGTGAATACTAGGCGAATCGTCGAGCCGGTTATATCTAAATGACCACAATAAGTCTGTCCAAATTTTCATTACATAATATGTTTGTATGTCAGTTTCCGGTGCGTGTGCGGGCGCGGCTACAAGGCGGCGGGCGCGGTGTGCGCGGACGTGGACGAGTGCGCGCGGCGGCCGGCGCCGTGCGGCCAGCGCTGCCGCAACACGCGCGGCTCCTACGCCTGCGAGTGCCGTGCCGGCTACGAGCTGGACGAGGACGGCGCCGACTGCCGCGACGTGGACGAGTGCGCCACCGGCGCGCACACCTGCCAGCAGCTCTGCGCCAACACCGACGGCTCCTTCGAGTGCTCCTGCAACGACGGCTACGAGAAGCGCGGCGACGCCTGCGTCGGTGAGTGGCATTCGTTCCTTATGCGATCTTCGTTACAATCAAAATTAAATGTGGCACTCGGAGACTGCCGCGGTAAAGCTATTGCATGGCATTTTTTATCAACTTATGCAATTATAATTATTTATTTATTTTATTAATGCAGTATTTTTTTTCCTTGACTTTCTTCATTAATAAATGCACTTTGTTTATTCATATTTAAAACACTTTGTACACAAATTATACGAGTACAGATATTCACTGTTGTACATAGATGATAAATACCTATACACCTATATACTTTCTCACAAACAGCTGATTACGGTAGTTTTCCAATACAATCAATGCCACCTAAAGGCGGGTTGCTGAACTAAAGAGACAAGCGTGATATTTCAAAAAGTCATTAAAAGTTCTGGTATTTATCGATAGATGGAAAAACTAAAAAGTATCACCGCTGTGCCGGTCGGAGTGGGGGGTGTCAGGTTTTTTTCGTTACGGAATTTCTGGATTCGGTCCCCACGCTCAAGGCCTGCGATAGAAGCTATGAAATAGCTTAAAAAATATATTAATTACAAACTATGCTACCGAGAGCTTTTGCTTGGCTTAATTATACTCCCAAGTTACCACTTGATATCTTTGTTAGAATTTATGAACGTAACATTTTATATTTTGATGATTAAATGATATTTAATTTTATGATTTCAATTTATTTTTTGAAAGAAAAGTAAAGAATTGTTTTTTAATAAACAATTTTCCAAGTAATTTATTCATTTAGGTACATTTAAAAAAATATTGCAGATATCAACGAGTGCCACGAGGAGGGCCTGTGCCCGCCGCCCGGCAAGTGCGTGAACCTGCTCGGCTCGTACCGCTGCGTGTGCCCGCGCGGGTTCCGCCTCGACGTGTCCGGCGCGCGCTGCCTCGACCGCGACGAGTGCGAGGACGGGCGCTGCCAGGCGCCCTGCCGCAATTACGCCGGCGGCTACCGCTGCGAGTGCCCGCCGGGCTCGGTGCGCGCGCCCGGCGGAGCCTGCTCGCCCGTGGACGCGTGCGCCGGCGCGCCGTGTGGCGACGCGCCGTGCGTGCCGCTGGCGGGCGCCTACCGCTGCGGCTGCCCCGCCGGCTACGGCTGGGACGCGGCGCACGGCGTGTGCCTGCAGCTGGCGGGCGGCTGCGCGGCGGCCAGCTGCCTGTTCGGCTGCACGGCGCAGGGCGACGGCTACCAGTGCGGCTGCCCGGCGGGCTACGCGCTGGTGGGCGCCGGCCACTGCCTCACGGCGCTGGACGGCGCGCTGGCGGCCGACGACATCGGCGCCGCGCCCGTGTTCCCGCTGCGCGATCAGTACCGCCTCGCCGGCGCCGACCTCATCTCCACCGAGGGGTGCTTCAGCTGCAAGGTGACGTCACCACATCGATTTACTATAAACATTTTTATTGTAGGATTGCCCTTAATATAGAATGAAAATAAAATTTCAAAAATGTTACGATTATTTACAAAACAAATTAAAAGTAAAGACATAAATCTTTTAATTACTCTAGTATGCATTATACTCTATTTTAATAAGGTACTTAACGTTTCTTTGTAATTTGCTAAATTTTATTACAAAAGTATTAAATATACAATTATTTCGTTTTGAGGTTTACGACATTTTAATTTATGTTATATTGATATTAAAAATTCAGGTGAACGGACGTAGACGGAGAGCTCCCGAAGAAGGTATAATCTTTGCGAATGGAACGACATTAGTGAGACGGCAAAGGAGACGCAGCAGACGTAAGTATTCACGAACCACTACAATTTCCAAGTATAATTAATATTAATAAGTTTTTGACGTATCGTGTTACATATTAATTATTCATGAATAGAATAATATTCGTCTAATCGATATAACGCTTAAAGGTTATAGAGGTATTTATTTATAGAGGTATTAATATTTTTTAAGAGATAAGACATTTTTTATCTAATTCAAAATCCCGTACAGGTCGCCGTTCTATTCTGGAGCCGGAAGCGGAGCTGGTAGTGGTGAGCGCGACGCCGCAGCAGACGTGGGGGCGCGCGCCGCTGCTGCGCCTGCTGCCGGCCGCCGGCGCCGGCCGCGCGCACTACCGCGTGGCGTACGGCGACCCGCGCGGCGACTTCGCGCTGAGCCGCCGCGACGGCACCTGGGCGCTGCGCCTGCGCCGCCACCTGCGCGCCGCCGACGCGCTGGAGCGCCAGCTGGAGCTGGAGGCGCGCGTGGTGCTGCCCCGCCCGCGCCCGCGCGCGCGCCGCCACGCACCCGACGCGCCCGACGCGCCCGCGCCGCTGCGCCTCTACGTGTCGGTGCGCATCGCGCCCCGCCCCCGCCCCCAGTGACACCCGCCTGGATCTGTATCTATATATACTTTTATATGGCGCCCCGTTAATACACATACCGTAAGTTGATATGTCGATGTTTTTTGTATTGGATTTGTTTAAATTGTTGGGCTTGAGGATGATCGAATTTTGTAATTTGTAATTATTTAAAGGTATAATTGAGACGATGACAAATATAAATAATATAATCTACATATCGACTTATTCACGCCATGTACGATGACTTTTGTATCGATTAATTCCATAAACTTCTTTGCGTGGTGAGGTTATGAGATCGGATAATTCTTGATCATTTTCGTTATAATAAAAACACTGCCATACTAAAATTGAGTCAATTTGCGACGCACTGCCATTATATTATTTTTATATTTAATGTTGTTGTGGACGGAGGTTAGTCTCACCACAGCGCAATGGCCATGTATCGATTAGGTGGTTCTATTGAGTATGCGATATGAAGACCGACAGTTCTATTTTTTTTACATATAATTGAAAAAAATATGAATACCAAATCTTGAAGCGCTTTATTGCTATTACGTTTTGCATAAAATTCTCAATAGCGCACTGATTTTAGGGATAACTAACGATTTCACGGTCGCAAGATAAATCCCATTTAACTAAAAACATATAACCTATTAAAACCAAAAAAAATATACATCAGTTGTATGTTTGATGTTTTTGCTAGGCCGTTTCGGATTGTTTTAATATCGATTTATAATCGCATATTCGAATAGATATCGGATCGTCATTTGATTCGTAGAGTCCGGGACGATCTCGTCGGCAGTATTAATTGTGTGAGATGGATGCATAATAAATAGTGTAGATATTACGAACTTAACTAACAACAAACAAAATATAATAATTATATTTTTTTTAATAAAATACATTTTAAGTAATAACTTTTCTGATCTTCTAATTTGATTTAAAAACAGTAGGTAATATAGCCATTTTTTTACAAAAACCATAATGGCAACGACGACATTCGATGTTGTTAGCTAAGTAACGATATTCGAATCCGATTACGATAATCGATTTTTTTTATATTTATTTCGACTTATATTGATTTTCACTATAAATTTTAATTTTGCCATCTTAAGTGCCAGTGGATAGAGTTAAGTCTTGAAATAATGTTTATTTAAAATTATTTATTTTATATTTTCAACGATAACACTACTTTTATATGTAAGAGATTGTTTATGCGTCCTACAGCGGATAATGTCTTGCAATAGGTTTTGTTTAATTTTGTAAATATGTGCATACAAGGATCGACATCCGATATATTGTTCGTTATATAACAATGTTTTAACTTAGCTCGTAAGTTGAAGTGGTACATTTTTAATTTAAACAAATAAACAAATTTTTAAAACAATTCCTCTATTTATTTTAAAACCCTTCCTTTGTAGCAACATATAGTATATTAAAATAAAATAATATGGTGACGAATAAAACATTGTTTTTTAGATCTGATTGTTTTTCTTGATATAACTTAATATCGACTATATTTTATAGCAACCAATAAGTAATAAACATTCAAATGAAAACTATTTTTAAATCTATCAACCAATTGTCATCTGCCATGTTGAGCGAACGTGTAAAAGATATAATGGGTTCCTCTTTCTTCTAAACCAAAGGGAAACTATCGGATCACTGTAAATAAATAGAAATATTGTCCAATAAACTATCGCAATGGCGAAGAAGGGTCAGACGGGGTCGGAGGAATTCTCGTGTGAGATGTTCAGTAACAAGTTCTTTATGCTGTGCGGGGCGGGCGGCGCCGTGGCGTGCGGCTCCACGCACACGCTGCTCACGCCGCTCGACCTGGTCAAGTGCCGGCTGCAAGTAGACCCTGCCAAATACAAATCCCTACTCAAAGGATTCTGCGTGTCCTTTAATGAAGGGGGAGCCCCCAATTTGGTCAAAGGCTGGGCGCCCACTCTCATAGGCTACACTCTGCAGGGCTCTGCCAAGTTTGCCGGCTACGAGTACTTTAAATACAAATTCGCTACCATGGTAGACGAAGAGAGTGCCTATTTGTACAGGACGTACTTATACTTAGCCGCAGCAGCGTCAGCGGAAATCGTCGCGGATGTATTCTTAGCACCATTCGAGGCTGTCAAAGTCAGAATGCAAACGACGCCGGGGTACACGTCTCAAATGAGAAAGGCTATGCCACACATGATGTCCACCGAAGGATTCGGAGTGTTCTACAAAGGATTGACACCGCTCTGGGGTCGTCAGGTACCTTACACTATGATGAAGTTTTCATCTTTTGAAGTAACTTTGGAATATTTATACGCAAACGTGGTTCCTAAGCCGAGGAACCAGTGTACTAAGGGTGAACAACTAATAGTGACGTTCGCGGCGGGTTACATCGCCGGCGTGCTGTGCGCTATTGTCTCGCACCCCGCAGATACGATCGTGTCGAAGTTAAACAAAGACCCGAGTGCTTCAATTGGCGGTATAATATCTGAAGTGGGCATGGTCGGTATCTGGCGCGGGTTGGTGGCGCGTATCATCATGATAGGCACCCTCACGGGCCTGCAGTGGTTCATCTATGATGCCTTCAAAGTGTACACTTTGATGCCGCGGCCTCCTCCCGCCGAGATGCCCGAATCTCTGAAGAAGAAATTGGCAGGCAAGAAATAGTTTCTCAAACTTTTATTCGTTGCTTGATAATTGTCTTGTAAAGTTCTTTTATATTGTTTAAATGGTATTGTTTTTTTGATAATAAATAATACTAAAAATATTTGTTTTTTTTTCTCTTAAGCTATTATGTGTAATAGTGAATTTGTGAACACAAAGCCCATAATGTTAGTATCACTGGTATACTTAGGTACCTATGTACGAGTAGGTGCGTCAGTCTCTATATCTTACAGATGTTTCCGGCGTAGGCATTGTCGACGTACTTTGGAGCGAAACATCAGATGCTGGATATTTGCGGCGTGCCTACGTCCAAGCTTTCCTGGATATTTGGCGTGCCTACTATATAAAATTTGAAGTTCCGAATAATTCATATCATTCAGCAAAATGTCGAACAAAAATGCGAATGGCTTCATATTTTCCATGAAGCATTTTACAATAGCTAAGCTACAAATATATTTGGTTTGAAATTTTTGTCATAGGTAGAATAGAAAAATTAAAATAAATAATTAATTGTATACAATTAAATTATAACTGTTAAAATAACGATTAAACTATTCAATAATGTATTTATTTCAATGTGGCTAGGACTCAAAGTTACTTTTTCTAATATTCATTATTTAATACTTGGAATAAACACGACATAAAAATTAAATATTATATATTTTGATGTTAAACATTACGGAATCTCCTACAGCTTGTGAAATTTAACGACAGAGTCATACAACGCGAGACATCCCATAACGCGTAGGGAGCGTTTAAGAAAGTGAGTACATTAACCGTGTCCGTATCCGGGAGGGTAATAACAATAATTTGGGGATTTATCCTTACACAGTGTCCCGCCGCCCACAGCGCCCGCCCTACAAATGGTCCGCTTGACCGGCTCAGTGTTTTATAAGTGACCGCTGCTGCAAACACTAACCCATTTACCATAATCTTGGATTTGTCTCGAGCTCTGTTGTTGGATTATGTCGAAATACATTGGAGTGGACCCTTTTTAGTGGTATGGTGATGTATGTGCTTTGAAAGGAAACGATTTAGTTGCGTGAATAGATTAGTTCAGTATATACGGTATGGTAGTCATGAGAATAATATATTTAGTACTAAAGCAAATAATATTAATTCTTTTTGCAGTAAATATATACGTATCCATCAAAAATATATTATTAGTCTTATATTATATATTACTTTGCATTGAATTATGGTAGGTATACCTCAGATATTTCATTAAAACTAATTAATATTATACTAATAAATCCCAGCCTACATAAAATCACGCTATAATCCTTAGATTATTAAGAGAAGACGTAAAATCCATATTTTAGGATTCTTTTGGTATTCACAGATGACGCATCAAAAGTCGCAAATACGAGGTTTTAGATTATCGTACTCGAGGAAATGTGTATTTCTCCGCTATTTGTCGCCGTCTTAGAAGACTTTAAGATGGAGAAATGAAATAAGGACGCAACTAGATATATAGGTACGTTTATTGCGTGGTCCTTACAATTATTGTAAAGTAAGTCTGTTCCACTCAGCAAATGTGTCTATTTTATTCCTACAAACACTCAAATTCAAACTTAAAATACATTTCGTTCCAATAGACTTTTAAAAATACACGCATTGTAGGATTAGTATAATGAAGCTACCTTCTGGTAGCATCACAATAGTTACTTCGCGGTTAAATTCTAAGAAATTAAAATTAAAATCTAATTAAATTTGATTGATTATAATCAGTTTTACAATAATGTATGGAAGTCTGCCCGATTTGTTGACATTTATGATTACTGCTGCGATCCCTTGTGTATTAGCATGATGATATTATATAATCCTATAGCCTTCCTCAATAAACGGGCTATCTAATGCAAAAAGAATTTTTGAAATCGGATTAGTACTTCCTGAGATTAGCGTGTTCAAACAAACAAACTCTGCCTTTTTATAATATTAGTATTAGTATAGATTTATAGGTATCATTGTGTATTTTGTATTCCAGTTACACTGTGCAGAATCAATTGAGATGTTTCCCGCCATGCTAATTCTTAAATAATTTCACTGTTGTCAAAACACTTTTAAATTTTAATATGTTATGTTTAACGTACAATAAGTTCAATTTACAATAATTACAGAAAAGTATGCATTGAATGTTATAATGAGCAATTTTTGATACTTTGTAATGAAGTAAAATACCTCCACTGTAAAACAATTTTAATTAAAACAGGGTAAATTATTATTAGGTATTATATTTATCGCTTGTTGCGAGAATTAAACCAAATATTTTCGGCTTACTATGGATCCTCCCAACCTATCTATCTGTGGTTTCCTTACATACATATTTGTATGGAGCTAATGTGTACATCTATCCAAGGTTATTGGGATCCGCCGCTACACGAAAAGTAAACAATCAGAAATCTATACATATAATAAAATTGTAACTAAGCCGAATCTGTACATTAGATATTTTTTGGAAAATCTTATTGAAATAAACATTATTATCGATACAGAGGCCGAATCTATAGTTTTTAGAATTTTTGTCTGTTTGTCTATGCGTTTGTGCGCGCTAATCTCAGAAACGGCTTAACCGATTTGAGTGCGGTTTTCACTAAGGTATTGTGACAAGCTTCGTTTTACATTTAGTATTTATTTCAATCGGTTTATAAATAAAAAAATTATCTATGTCAATTTAAAGAATCAGCGAAGCGAGGCTGAGTCGCTATCTATCTATCTATTATGGTTACTGCATAGTATGGTTTTCTAATAGTTAAAGAGATTTAAAATTCAATTCAGTAGTAGTTGATGAGTTCATGGTGTACAAACAAATAAATAAATATTCTCTACAGTAGTGTAACATAACTAAAATGGAAAAGATCACATCGTTTAATAATATGAATGAGAATAATTATTGTTTTTAGAATGTAATTACACAATTCGACAGTTCACGACGTGACGAGGTGGCCGAGTGGTTAAGGCGTTGGACTGCTAATCCAATGTGCTCTGCACGCGTGGGTTCGAATCCCATCCTCGTCGATTGTTCTACATTTTGTAGAAGTCCTTTTTTTAATTTATGTATAAGCCTTAAATTCAGATTTTAAAGAATTCAATATCATACAAAATATATTACCCGTTTTAAAAAAAATATTTGTATGTAAGTCTCAAAATATGTCAATTAATGAAGGAAATCGACTTTCGTAGTTCTAATAATTTACTTTGCAAAAGAAATAGCAAAAACAAGATGCAATAATATAGTACCAATTAGAAAGAGCTGATGGTGGAGAAAAGAGATGGAAAGTGAAACTCTTTGGGTATCGTTAATTGCTAACCCCCACAAAAATTTTGGTGTTTTTTTCAAATATAAAGTATTACGTTACATCGTAAAACATGTACTATAGATGCATATTATTATTTCTTATTGTCATATTCTTATTTACAGTAAAGAAAATTACAAATATGCCTAATCTATATCTAAAAAAATGAATCCCTACTTCTCTTGGTCACGCCATCACGCGTGAACGGCTGGACCGATTTAACTATTTTTTTTGTTGTGTTTGTTATTGTCAGGAGAAGGTTCTTATGAAAGAAAAAATTAAAAAAATTGCGCGGAAAACTATAAAATTTAAGAATACTTATTTAATAATAGAATAATAAGTATTAAAACATCAGAAAAATTAACGGAACAAAAAATTAAAATTTATATGGCTAACGCTGGGTAATAACTATTTATAAATATTTAAAACGTACCCGCTAGTGATATATAAAAAAGTGTACTCTTAATTATAACTGTACAAGTCACGTCCGCGTGGAATAGTGGCAAGAATGCTAGCATTCCCCCATTGAATGGCAATGCCGATTCTTTGGGCGAAAAATGCGCCAGCTCTTATGTCACCAGTATATTATTCTACGAGTATAATTGATTGGAGCATGTCACGTTATAGTCTTATTGAAAGGAATTTCTGCCACATTATTTTTATATTATGATTTATTACTTTAACTAGTAACAAATGATTAATTGATATGAATTTTCTTATTTCTTAGTTTCCTCGTGACGCGGAGTTTATAATATATGTATACGTAGCTTGATATTTTAAATTTTGTTAATGCATAGTTAAATTGTAAATTAAATAAAGTTAACTTTAATAATATATCTTGTATGGGAATTTTAAACTGCCCAAATATTGTCTAAAATTTTATTAAAGTTTCCCCGAAACAGAGAATAGAAACTAAACAAAAAATGTATGAAATTGAAAACGAAATTTAGCATAAACAGAATTACATCTTAGCAAAACAAGGAGTTCCCAGGAGATACAACATGGGAGATTAAATAAGAATACCCTTCGCATACACATGTAATACGATGATTTCGACGTCTATAATAATTTGTATATTTTCCTAACGTGTGTAAAGTCTGTATATTATGTTACCGCTATGATATTTTTTATGGGCCGAGGGAGAGATATCTCGAGTTTCTGTAGACTGTAGAACATTGCGTGCTGGATGGTTTCATTTGTGTGATGGAAAAAAAAGATTATACTTTAAGAAAAGATATTGGTCCCGCTGAGTTTCTTTCGCCAGTTCTTCTCAGGTCTGAGGCTTCTTCTTTCCGAACTGGTAGTAGACTCATAACGTTCAGTAAAAAATTGTAATAATTTAATGCTGAATAAAATATTTTGATTTAAATTGATTTGATGAGCACGAATTTTTGTACTCCAGTCATGGGTGTTTATATTTATAATATGTATGTATTTAAAGTTATATATTTATAGTATGTCAACTATCTGGTATCCATAACACAAGCTTCGTAGCTTACCACGAAAGTAGATGGTGCTGTGTGCTAATATCCCAACATATTTATAATGTAACGCTATTTTTACCTCGTTATCTCTCCTGGGTTTGAGTTCCAGGTTGGGTTAAGGATAGTTATTGAGTGGTTTGTTAAGAAGTTTTTAGTAACAGCCCGGATTTCAGAAGTTGGCTGCGTTTCGTTCATCTCCGTGCCTCGGAGATCTCATTAA